GTCTTAGGTCTAAGTCCTTAGTCCATCTTGAGTTGATTTTTGTATAAGGTGAGAGATGAGGATCCAGTTTCATTCTCCTACATGTGACTAGCTAATTATCCCAGCACCATTTGTTGAAAAGGGTGTCCTTTCCCCCACTTTATGTTTTTGTTTGCTGTGTCGAAGATCAGTTAGCTGTACGTATTTGGGTTTATTTCTGAGTTCTCTATTCTGTTCCATTGGTCTATGAGCCTATTTTTATACCAGTACCACACTGTTTTGGTGACTGTGGTCTTATAGTATAGTTTGAAATCAGGTAGTGTAATGCCTCCAAATTTGTTCTTTTTGCTTAGTCTTGCTTTGGCTATGTGGACTCTTTTGGTTCTATATGAATTTTAGAATTGTTTTTTCTAATTCTATGAAGAATGATGGTGGTATTCTGATGGGGATTGTGTTGAATTTGTAGATTGCTTTTGGCAGTATGGTTATTTTCACAATATTGATTCTACCCATCCATGAGCATGAGATGTGTTTCCATTTGTTTGTGTCTTCTGTGATTTCTTTCAGCAGTGTTTTGTAGTTTTCCTTATAGAGGTCTGTCACCTCCTTGGTTAAGTATATTCCTAAGTATTTTATTTTATTTTTGCAGCTATTGTAAAAGGACTTGAGTTCTTGATTTGATTCTCCGCTTGGTTGCTTTTGGTGTATAGAAGAACTACTACTGATTTGTGTACATTAATCTTGTGTCCAGAAACTGCTAAGTTCTTTTATCAGTTTTAGGAGCTTTCTAGGGTTTTCAAGGTAAACTATCATATTGCCAGCAAACAGTGACAGTTTGACTTCCTCTTTACCAATTTGGATGCCCTTTATTTCTTTCTTTTGTCTGATTGCTCTGGCTAGTACTTCCAGTACTATGTTGAAGAGGAGCGGTGAGAGTGGGCATCCTTATCTTGTTCTAGTTCTCAGAGGGAATGCTTTCAGGTTTCTCTATTCAGTATTATGTTGGCTGTGGGTTTGTCATAGATGGCTCTTATTACATTAAGGTATGTCCCTTTTGTGCTGATTTTGCTGAGAGTTTTAATCATAAAAGGATGCTGGATTTTGTCAGATTCTTTTTCTGCATCTATTGAGATGATCATGTGATTTTTGTTTTTAATTCTGTTTATGTGTTGTTTCACATTTGCATATGTTAAACCATCCCTGCATCCATGGTATAAAACCCAGTTGATCATAGTGAATTATCTTTTTGATGTATTGTTGAATTCAGTTAGCTAGTATTTTGTTAAGGATTTTAGCATCTATGTTCATCAAGGATATCGGTCTGTAGTTTTCTTTTTTGGTTATGTCCTTTCCTGATTTTGGTATTAGGGTGATGCTGGCTTCACAGAACGAATTAGGGAGGGTTCCTTCTTTCTTTATCTTGTGGAATGGTTTCAATAGAATTGGCACCAATTCTTCTTTGAATGTCTTGTAGAATTCTGCTGTGAATCTGTCTGGTCCTGGACTTTTTTTTGTTGGTAATTTTTAAATTACCATTTCAATCTCACTGCTTGTTATTGGTCTGTTCAGAGTATCTAATTCTTGCTGATTTAAGCTAGGAGGGATGTATTTTTCCAGGAGTTTATCCATCTCTTCTAGGTTTTTTAGTTTATTTGCATAAAGGTGTTTATAGTAGCCTTGAATGTCTTTTGCATTTCAGTGGTGTCAGTTGTAATATCTCCCATTTCATTTTTTAGTGAGATTATTTGGATTTTCTGTCTTCTTTTCTTGGTTAATCTTATTAATGATCTATCAATTTTATTTATCTTTTCAAAGAATCAGCTTTTTGTTTCATTTATCTTTTGCATTTTTTTGATTCAATTTCATTTAGTTCTGCTCTGATCTTGGTTATTTCCTTCCTTCTGCTGGGTTTGGGTTTGGTTTGCTCTTGTTTCTCTAGTTCCTTGAGGTGTCACCTTAGATTGCCTGTTTGTGCTCTTTCAGATTTTTTGATGTAGGCATTTAGGGCTATGAACTTTCCTCTTAGCACCACCTTTGCTGTACCTCAGAGGTTTTGATAGGTGGTGTCATTGTCATTCAGTTCGAAGAATTTTTCAATTTTCATCTTGATTTCATTTTTGACCCAATGCTCATTCAGCAGGTTATTTAATTTCCATGTATTTGCATGGTTTTGAAGGTTTCTTTTGGAGTTGATTTCCAGTTTTATTCCACTTTGGTCTAAGAGAGTGCTTGATATAATTTGAATTTTCTTAAATGTATTGAGGCTCATTTTATGGCCTGTCATATGGTCTATCTTGGAGAAAGTTCCATGTGCTGTTGAATAGAATGTGTATTCTGCAGTTGTTGGATGGAATATCCTGTATATACCTGTTAAGTCCATTTCTTCCAAGGTATAGTTTAAATCCATTGTTTCTTTGTTGACTTTCTGTCTTGACCTGTCTAGTGCTGTCAATGGAGTATTGAAGTCCTCCATTATTATTGTGTTACTGTCTGTCTTCTTAGGTCTATTAGTAATTGTTTTTATAAATTTGGGAGCTCCAGTGTTAGGTGCATATGTGTTTAGGATTGTGACATTTTCCTGTTGGACAAGGCTTTTTTTTTTTTTTTTCTGAGATGGAGTCTTGCTCTGTTGCGCAAACTGGAGTGCAGTGGCGCGATCTCGGCTCTCTGCAACCTCTACCTCCTGGGTTCAAGTGATTCTCCTGTCTCAACCTCCTGAGAAGCTGGGATAACAGGCACCCACCACCACGCCCGGATAATTGTTGTATTTTTATTAGAGACAGAGTTTCACCATGTTGGTCAGGCTGGTCTTGAACTCCTGACCTCAGGTGATCCACGCCCCCCCCCGCCCCCGGCCTCCCAAAATGTTGGGATTATAGGCGTGAGCCACTGGGCCTGGCCTGTACAAGGCCTTTAACCATTATACAGTGTCCTTCTTTGTCTCTTTTAACCACTGTTGCTTTAAAGTTTATTTTGTCTGATGTAAGAATAGCTACCCCTGCTCGCTTTTGGTGACCATTTGCATGAAATGCTTTTCCATCCCTTTAAGTTTATGTGAGTCCTTATGTGTTAGGTGAGTCTCCTAAAGGCAGCAGATAGTCAGCAGATTATGTGCCTGTGCTTCGCAGCAGTTGCAAATGGTCACCAGAAAGCGAGCAGGGGTAGCTATTTCTTACATCAGACAAAAATAAACTTTAAAGCAACAGTGGTTAAAAGAGACAAAGAAGGACACTGTATAATGGTTAAAGCTTTTACAGGCCAGGGCCCAGTGGCTCACGCCTATAATCCCAACATTTTTGAGGCCGGGGGGGTTGGTTGGGAGTTCTTAATCCATGTATATGGTCTGTATCTTTTTTTTTTTTTTTTTTTTTTGAGACAGAGTGTTTCTCTGTCGCCCAGGCAGTGGGCGTACAGTGGTGTGATCTCAGTACCCTCCACCTCTGGGCTTCAAGTGGTTCTCCTGCCTCACCCTCCCAAGTAGCTGGGATCACAGGTGCATGCCACTATACCCAGCTGATATTTGTATTTTTAGTATAGAGTTTCACCATGTTGTCCAGGCTGGTCTCGAACTCCTCACCTCAGGTGATCCCTCTGCCTCAGCCTTCCAAAGTGCTGGGATTATAGGTATGAGCGATTGCTTCTGGCCTCTATGTCTTTTAAGTGGAGCATTTAGGCCATTTATATTCAATGTTAGTATTGAAATGTGAGGTACCGTTGCTTTTATCATGCTCTTTGTTGCCTGTATACTTTGGTTTTGTTTTTTGTTTTTGCTTTTAAACTTGCATTTTTGTTTTATAGGTCTTACGTGATTTATGCTTTAAAGAGGTTCTGTTTTGATGTGTTTCCAGGATTTGCTTCAAGATTTAGCAGTTGTTATAGTGGTAGTTTGGTAATGGTGAAATGTCTCAGCATTTGTCTGTCTAAAAATGACTGTATCTTTCCTTCGTATATGATGCTTAGTTTCGCTGGAGACAAAATTCTTGGCTGACAATTGTTTTGTTTGAGGAAGCTGAAGATAGGTCCCCAGTCTCTTCTAGCTTGTAGGTTTTCTGCTGAGAAATCTGCTGTTAATCTGATGGGGTTTTCCTTTATAGGTTACCTGGTGCTTCTGTCTCACAGCTCTTAAGATTCTTTTTCATCCTAACTTTGGATAACCTGATGACAATGTGCCTAGGCAGAGATTTTTGCAATGAATATCCTAGGTCTTCTTTGTGTTTCTTATATTTGGATGTCTAGGTCTCTAGCAAGGCCGGGGAAGTTTTCCTTGATTATTACCCCAAATATATTTTCTAGCCTTTTAGAATCCTCTTCTTCCTCAAGTACACCAATTATTCTTAGGTTTGGTCATTTAACATAATCCCAGACTTCTTGGAGTCTTTGTTTATATTGTCTTATTCTTTTTTCTTTGTCTTTTTTGGATTGGGTTAATTGGAAGACCTTGTCTTCATGCTCTGAATTTCTCTCTTCTACTTGTTCAATTCTATTGCTGAGACGTTCCTGAGCATTTCGTATTTCTGAAAGTGTGTCCAAAGTTTCCTTAATTTTTTATTGTTTTTTCTTTAAGCTATCTATTTCCATAAATATTTCTCGCTTCACTTCTTGTATCATTTTTTGGATTTCCTTGCATTGGGCTTTGCCTTTTCTCTGGTGCCTCCCTGATTAGCTTAATAACTAACCTCCTAAATTCTTTGTCAGGTGAATCAGGGATTTCTTTTTGGTTTGGATCCATTGCTGGTGAACTAGTGTGATTTTTTCCAGGTGTTGAAGAGCCTTGTTTTGTCATATTACCAGGGTTGGTTTTCTGGTTCCTTTTCATGTGGATAGGCTCTGTCAGAGGGAAAGTCTAGGGCTGAAGGCTATTGTTCAAACTCTTTTGTTCCATGTAGTAATATCCCCCTTTTCCTATGGACGTGGCTGCCTGTGAACTGAACTGCAGTGATTATTGTCTCTCTTCTGGATCTAGCCACCCAGCGACTCTACCCAGATCCGGGCTGGTACTGGGGGTTGTTTGCACAGAGTCCTGTGATTTGAACCGTCTATGGGTCTCTCAGCCATGGATACCAACACCTGTTCCAGTGGAGGTGGCGGAGGGTGCAGTGGACTCCGTGAGGGTCCTTAGGTTTGGTGGTTTAATGCTCTGTTTTTGTTCTGGTTGGCCTCCTGCCAGGAGGTGGTGCTTTCCAGAGAGCCTCGTCTGTGGTAGTATGGAGAGGGACCAGCGGTGGGTGGGGCCCTAGAACTCCCAAGATTATATGCCCTTTAGACCAGGGTGAATAGGAAAGGACTAGCAGATGGGAGCAGGGCTAGGTGTGTCTGAGCGCAGACTCTCCTTACGCGGGTCTTGCTGTTGCTGCTGTGGAAGATGGGGTGAGAGTCCCCGGTCACTGGAGTTGTGTACCTAGGAGGATTATGGCTGCCTCTGCTGAGTCATGCAGGTTGTCAGGGAAGTGGGGGAAAGCTGGCAGTCACAGGCCTCACCCTGCTCCCCTGCAAACTGAAGGACCAGTCTCACTCCCACTGTGCCATCTGAACAACCCCGAGTCTGTTTCCAGGCGAAGGGTGAGATGGACTTAAAAACTTGCCCGAGGCTATCTGCCTCCCAGCTGCGAGAGAAAAGGACTTTAGCTTTCCCCCACTGCCTGTGAAGTCTGCATGCCAATTCATGCCCTTCCCCAAGTTCTGGCCAGGAGGCTTTTTGCCCCATTCAAATTGTTACAAAGTTCAGCTAGAGAATTCCTTCTCCCTATGGAGTTTTACCGTCTGCTCCTCTGGCCACCCTCCCAATGGATCCCTGTGGTGCCAGGCAGGAATGGGCTGCTTGGGGACCCAGCGAGCTCCCAGGGCCTTTCTGCCGCTTCCTCTGCTCCTGTATTTCGCTCAGCGTTCCAACTTGACTCAGCTCCAGGTAAAGTGGGAAACTTCTGCAAATAGACCCTCAGCTTCTCCAGTGGGAGTGTGTGTTTGTGAGAGGAGGGTCTCCCTTGCCCACTCGCACAGTTCGGGCGCTCACAGTATTTCGGGTGTCTCCCAGGTCCTACAGGAGCAGTTCGCTTCCTTCAGGGTGTCTGTGGGTCCTCTTGGGATTGCTGGTTTGTTCTTGTAGTCGATCTGGAGCTAAAATTCACAATCTGGAGTCTATTTTAAAATTATGGTGATAAATTTGAGCCCATGTGTGTTTTTCTCTGATAAGGTTCTGCTGCTCGTATTGCTAGCACAGAACAAATGTAAAGTTGAGTTTCACTAGAACTATGATTTAGCCAACTGAGCTTTTTAGAGGAAGAGGAGAACAGAGGAAGTGGAGGTATATAAGTTAGTGATAAGGGCGATGAACTGTGAAATCTAACCTGGGAAAGGAAGAAATGAAGGTGTGGAGGAGGTAGATGAACAGTGAAAAAGTGGTAGGGGCAATAGATTAGAGATCCCAGTGGAGCTAATGGAGTCTATGATCATCTTAGAGAAGGTGAACCAAAAAGAGAAGATCCAGGAGTCTATACATGCCAACAATTAACCACTCTTTCTATGGATTCTTCTCAAATTTAGATGGTGCTCTTCTTTTTAGCTTTCCCCTGTGAAAATGGAGGAGAGATCGTTATTACAGAAATTGCTTTCATAGCTGCTTCTGTAGCAATGACCTCTTTGCTAAACCTCAATTGTACAGTTCTCTAGTGCCTGCAAGAATTGCCTGAATGCTCTACCAGCATTTTCTACTAATTATATGTAAATTATTTTTAACAATTCTTCATTCAAATTCACCTGTTCTGGATGCCATTCTCCCTCTATGAGTCTCTCTCCTGACTCTTTCCTCTCCTTGCCTCCAGTTTTAATCATTACTAAGTAAGTTAGCTTGTAAAATATTTATTGGATCTTCTCTACATTTCCAGGGCCCACCGACCTTGTTGGCCCATCCAGTGCCCATTCAGCTCCCTATCTTGCACCTTTGTTTCCCTCTTTTTGGGATATCTTCCCTTGAATGTTAAAATCCTTTGGCCACAAATTTAAATGACATCTATTCTATAAACACTGCCACGACTTCAGTTCATTGGATTTTGTTAATTGTTGCCAAAATGGTATCCTCTTTTTTTTCCTCCAATACCAGGTTAATTTTCAAAATTATATTCTTTATAGCCACAGCCCTTCTCAAAAACTTTTAGGAGTTTTCTGTTTCTCCTAGAATAATGTCCAGACTCTTTAGCATAGGCTCTAGCCTTCTTTCACATTCTCATTTTCTTCACCTCTTCTTGGAGTCTTTCTAGGGCCCACTGAACTTGTTGGCCCATCCATTGCTCTTTCGATCCCCTATCTTGTACCTGCATTTCCCTCTTCTTGGAATATGTTCTCTGACTGGTAAAAATCCTTTGAGCACAGATTTAAATACCACCTACTCTATAAACATTTTACACGCTCCTCACTGTTGAAAATAGTCTCTCCTTCCTCCAAACTTGCAAAATAACTCTGTGTATACCTGTTAGTCATAAGAATACTTTTCAATTTTATAAGCGTACAGTTTTCAAACTGCTTTTACATATGTTTTACTTTATTCTCTACAACAAGAGGAGGTTTTCTTTAGCACCATTTTAAAGATATGGAAACTGGGAATGAGAATTATTTAAATTACACGTACTTGTCACTGTCACCCTTTGAATAATTTATATTCTTATTTTTCTTGTTCCCAGACTTTGTCCTTCAATGCACTGAATCAAAGCTTTCATTAATAGGCAGTCTTATTTGTTGAATGAATGCATGAAAGGCTGGTTTTATGAAAGCAAAAATGTTTTTCATAATTAGTATTTGAAAAGATGTGTTTTTCAAGTAACTTGCATGTTAATAGCTGTTTTTTATGATGTGGACTTTGTTAAGTCTGGCAGTAAGAAAAAAAAAGTCACCAAAGCTGAACGATTGAAGCTGCTACAAGAGGAGGAAGAGAGACGACTGAAAGAGGAAGGTACAAAATAAATAGTGATACTATATACGTATACAGGTAACAGTCACGATAGGTTGGCCTTCTGTAGTACAGTCAATATTTTTTCAAAGTTCTTTAATTTTAAATTTTAATCTGTTTTATGATAGATACCTATCATTTAGAAAGTATCCAGAAAGATGTTAGTACATGCCAGTCTCTTTCAGATATATATTGAAATAGGGTTGCCAGAGATAAAATACAGGAGCCCAGTTAAATTTAACTTTCAGATAATCAAATGGATAATTTGGGATAATTTGCCCCATGCGATACTTGGGACATACTTAACTTTAAAAAAAGAAAATTGTTTAAATAAAGTTTCGGTGCTGTAGAAGAAATAGCACTCAAATATAAAATTTTCTTTTTAATTCTCAGCAAAGCAAGGTACTTCTATAGAAGGGTATGCTCTCACCAATGGAGCAATGGTGGGCACACATTTGGACAAGGGAGGGGAAGGGGTTCTTATCCCTGGCGCATGTGGCCCCTGCTGCTGTGTTGTTCCCCTATTGGCTAGGGTTAGACCGCACAGGCTAAACTAATTCCGCAATTGGCTAATTTAAAGAGAATGACGGGTAAGGCGCTTTGGGGAGTCAGGACAGAGCAGGTAGCAGGAAACCGGAATGAGTTAGGGTGGAGGAGGTGATCAGAAATCGAGTTAGGGTGAGGTGTGATCAAAAATGAGCCGGGTGGAGGAGGTGATCAGAATGAGTCCGGGTGACAGGTGATCAGAATGAGTCGGGGTGGAGCAGTGTGATCAGAATGAGCGTCCGGGTGAGCAGGTGATCAGAATGAGTCGGGGTGGAGCAGGTGATCAGAATGAGTCAGGGTGGGAGTAGGTAGTTGAAAAAGGTTGCTTTTACGAGGAAGTTTAATTTAAAAGTAGGAAAGCAAAGAATTGAAACATACTGACTTATTAATTCTTTGAAGAGAAATTTAGAATTCATATTCAGCAAATGTTTATTGTCATCTAAAATTCAAATTCAACTGAGCATCCCATGTTTTAATTTGCTAATTCTGGTAACCCTATCTTGAAGTGTTTATAATTTACTGATGAAATTAGTGACCACTGGTGCTGATTGTTCGCGTAAAAATTCTGAAACTCAAATTCATTAAATGTGGGAAATATACACTAGCAATGAAATATGTA